AAAAAAAAAGCCATTTAGCCAATTTAAATCCCAAGAGAGAGATAAAGGGAGAAGCAAGTAAAGAAAGGGGTCTACTACCACCAAGAAAAAAATCTGGAAGTGGAATGCATCCTTTAAAGCTGGGGTCCCTGTACTGTGAAGCACCCACATGAGGAGAAGATCGATGCTGATGCACATGGAGATCTCTAAGCAATGTTGGGCATACAGATGTTGAAGGGACACAAGGACCTTCCTTCCCTTAGAGCCAGAAGATAGAAAAAGCTTTCTCCCAGGACTGGCACTCTGAATTTGGACTTTTAGCCTCCTAAATTGTGACAGAATAAATCCTTGTTTGCTAAAGTCATCCATTTGTGCTGTTTCTGCTGTTAGCAGCACTAGATCATTAAAACAGTTGTTGAAGAACATATTCTGGGAATGTCATCTGCAGTAGGATTTCTACCACCTTCCCTGCCCCAGTAGTCCCTGAACTGGGATCTTTACATCTGCAAACTTGGTCTTCTCCAGTTCCCAATCAATCTGTTCCTCCAAGAGAAAAGCTATTGAATAGCTTTTCAAATCCTCATTGATTGGGATTCAATATGACAACATAATCAGGAATCCTCCTGGGAATTTGAGATGCTGGAGCTATTTTCTAATATCTGCATCCCATTTCTTCAGTCCCAGTCCCCGTAGACCATGAGGCCATTGTGGAGTGTCTGAGATTCTGTTTTCATCAATGTTCTGAATTTTTTCCCCAGAAACCTCCTTTGAGTCAGGAGTCTCTTTCTTTGGTGGATATTGCTTTCCCCAGAGTCTGAGGCTCTGAAACTCCATATAACTGTGCTTGGATTTTCTAGACTTCTAAGTATATTCACTCAGTTAATAAATGTCAGTCATCTGCTAGAATACACCACAACCCCTTAACCCATTGGGCTATTTGATGAAACTGAGCCTCAAGACTTTCCTTTCTAGGGTAACATTAATTGATCACATCTAGGATAGCTTGTCCTTGAAAAAATAGCTTCAGATCATGTTAACACTCTGCTCTAAACCCTCTGATAGCTGTGACCTCACTTTAAGGAAAATATAGAGGCCTAAGAGAGGGAACCCTGGCAGTGCAGTGGATTATGAGCTAAGCTGATAAGCACAAGGTCAGCAATACCGATCTACCAGTCACTCCCTGGGAGACAGAGGAGGCTTTCTGAGATTTACAGCCTCAGAAACCCTGTACACAGTTGCTATGAGTTGTAACTGACTCGATGGCACACAACCACCACCACCACCATAGCGCCCCATAAGAGTCCCATCTCTCTCACCCTAGATTCCTGCCATACCTCTAACACATAGGCCCACTGAGCAGGAGACTTAAAAAAAATTCTCATCAATGATAAAGGTAAGCCCTTCTGAATATTCTAGAGGATATGAGAGATGAATAAAGAAACTACTAGGATAAATTCTCTGTGATGAAGAAATCTTTGTATATTGAATTTTGTTGTTGTTGTTGTTAAGTGCTGTTGAGTGGGTTCCCACTCATAGCAAACCTGTATAGACTTTCTGAGGCACCTTGGTGGCTTTTAGTTGCAACCTTAGAGTTCAAACCAACCTTGCTGTCCAGTGCTTCATCCAACAGCACCACACCAGGACTCTAAAATATATCGTATATGAGAGTTGACGGTGTAAGATAACTAAGCATCGGAACGCTAAACACAAGGTCAGTGGTTAAAACCCAACAGCTGCTCTCAGGGAGAAACACGAGATTGTCTACTTCATAAAGATTTATAGTGTTGGAAATCCTACGGAGCAGTTCTACTCTGGCAATGGGAGAATATCATATTATATAAATCGCTAATTAATGTAATGAACACTCTAAAGCACAGATTGACATTCTAGTGCCTTTGGAGTCAGATTTGCTTATGCTTTATCCAATTTTATTATTTAGCATATTTTACTCCACACCATTGCACATGGGTAGGTATGGTTGGCTCATAGAAAGGATTTAAGTATAAGTAAACTAAGGGCTCCTGGTGTGGCACTGTAGGATAAGCACTGGATTGCTAACCATAAGGGTGCAGTTCAAACCCACCAGCTGCTTCTTGGAAACCCTATACAGGACTGCCGTGAATAGGAACCAATTTGATGGCACTTAACAACAACAACCTACTATTGATCCAGGAAACTCTGGTGTTGTAGAGGAGAAGTGAGACAGGGTGGGAAGTAAACCAATCAAGGAAGTATTATCAAGCCAATTATTCCTGGGGTCCAGGAGATTCATTCCACTGTGAAAGTCCAGGAGACAGTGTTTAACATGCATTCTAGAGTTATCCCAGAGGGGTGAGGAAGATGGCATATTTAAACACCAGATCCAGCTAAGTACATGAGATTTGCTTTCCAAATGTGTGAGTTCCCAGGAACTTCTAGCTTGCCCTGAGTAGGCAGAAAAACCTTCAGTAAATAGATCCAGCCAGTGGCAGATGGAAGTCAGCTCAGTGTGCTCTGGCACAGGAAGGTCTGGCAGTAGCTTTAGAGCTCAGATGCTAGCAGAACAGTTGGTGGTTTCAAACCATCAGCTGCTCCCTGGGAGAAAGATCTGCTTCCTTAAAGATTATATCCTTATAAACCCCATGGGGTAGTTCTGCTGTGTCCCAGAGGATCATTATGAGTCAGAATGGACTCAACGGCAATCGGTTTGGGTTTTGAGTGAATAAGGTTAAGGTGCTGACAGCACGTAATACAACTACCCAAAGTGAGTTGGATGCCATTTGTCTTGTCTTGTTTAACTCCATGTGAGGTTAACCATCTGGAATCTTCGCTTTTTGTTTTCTCCCAAACTCTACGGCCTTTTCAATTACCAATGAAATATTAGTTTCATACTATGAGTCAATATTAACGGAAAGATGGTTTCTAGCTTTTCTTAAAGCTGTTTACCATTGTTTTCATTGAAAATATTGCTGTTATATTTCTTACATCAGAAACTTTGGGGGATATATTAATTTGCTTTCCTTTTACTGTTCAAATGATGTGGAAAGGAATTTATGCTGTGCATAAATAAGCTAGAGTAACAAATGATAGGCACTGTATCCCAGGCCAAGTATTCTAGTTATCATAACTAGGATTGCTGTGTATGCTCTGTGTGAGCAGGACACAGAGAGTCATTTCCTTGGCTTGAAATCTGCAATAATAAAGGTATTTACACAGTGATTTTAAGGCAGGGGCTCTTGAGAGACCCATGATCACACAGATCTCAAAGAACCCATTTGCTTTGGATTCAATGCCTTAAATTCTATCCCACGCTCTTACTTTTTGGTTTTGGGTATAAACTTGGTTTCAAGGCTACTTCATAGCTAGATTTACTTAACCATTCTGATATCAACTATTTACTAAGTTTCTCCCATGTGGTTAAGTGCTAGGCTGCTAATGAAGTAGTCACAGCTAAAACCCACCAACCACTGGGCAGGAGAGATGATGTGACAGTCAGCTTTCATAAGGATCGTAGCCTTGGAAACTCTATGGGACCATTCTGCATTGTCCTATATGTCTTATGAGTTGGAATTAACTCATTGGCAATGGGTTTTCAATGACTTTGTGTCAAGGCATCAACAACAATGGAGAGAGAGTCATAATGCACTAGAAAACAGTTGGGGGGATAAGCTGATAATTAATGGAGATTCTGATGTTTTCTAGCATAGGGAACCTCAGGTATTGGGCAGATAACATTAACATATTGAACATTTAGGTATTGACTTTTCTAAATGCAGGAGAGTAGACTCTGATTTTTTGTGTTCTTGAAAAATAAATAAAATAAATGTGACAATGTATTTGTAGCATATTCTTAATATTATTAAAGAACTTGGTGTGACACTGTAGGATAAGCACTGGACTGCTAACTAAGATTCAAACCCACTGGCTGCTCCTTGCAAAACCCATTCGCAGTTTGCTCTCTCAGAACTGGCTTGATAGCACTTAACAACTACAACAAGCAAACATTTCATACTTCCTTGAGAGATTGCAAAGATCCCCAAGAACTATAAAAACCCATACATATGCTAATGATGATGAAGGCAACAGAAGATAGCCTTGTTGGAGAATAGAGAGGACATTGATAAAGATGCTGGAATAATGGGGTTGATAATAAAATAACAGTGAGGTGGACACCATGTACCATATACTAAGTTCCAAGTCGATACCACCCAGATGCTCCTGTCTCTATTCAGAGCAACGAACAAAGTCTATAGAAAAGCAAACATAAATCATGTTTCTTGAGCTTACCAGCAGTGATGTCACTGGGGTATTTCAGTGATGTCATAAGTATTTCAGAGAGTCTAGATAACATAGGGTGACACCAAAATGCCTATCTATAACATTTTTGTGAAGTGATACAACATATTTTTTGTATGAAAATATCTCTATAGTTAGCTATAGCAACAAAAGCATTTTTCATAAGTTCTGCTTATATCTGTCAATACACTTACAAAGTGAAAACTCTATGCTTAGTTACTTTTTGATTTTTCTAATGTGCTGCAGCCAAAACTGTCATTTTATCCAATAATGAAGCTCCTTGCATGTGCTACAGCACGGAATGTCTGGTGTTTTTATTTTGTTGCCAATGTTTTTATAATTACTGATTTTGTCGAAATGTTCTTGTGTTTTAGCTATAAGATTGTGCTCATCCATATTTCCGAACCTACATAAATAACTTTTCTGAGACTAAAGTAGTAATTAAAATAAAAGGGGGAAAATTTTTTTAGAGCTACCAATAATATTGTAACGGACAATGTAATTCAATGTAGAAAGATTTCACAAAACAATTGTATTGTTAATAGTCATACAATTGAAGAAATACTATATTTAAGCAATTTACAACTATATTTATTGTATATTATTCTATGATTTTAAATGATAATAAGCATTCACAAGGATTCTGTAGAGTATGGTATAGGAAGACTCATGGGAACAAGTGACACTGTGAATTCTCACATTGGGTGACACCAACCCTAGATAATCCTAGTGATGCCACTGCTTACCAGTTTAATATGTTCTCGCTTCTGGTATTTTTCACTGTAATACTGCTCTTGCCGAAGGTTAAGTAGTTGTTGCTGTTGTTTGTCCTTCAGATCTATTAACTTTTGGGTCATTTCAGCATCCAGGGCAGCAAGATCTTGCTCAATCGTTGATGATTCAGGACTGCTGGGCTCGGGTCTGCAAAGACACAGAGCTTAATTATAGAGTTTGCAGGTTGTAAAACAAGGTGGAGGGAATGCCACCCCATATGAGTTCCTCCTAGAGAAAGCATTAGGTTTACTGGGAAATAATGCATATGTTTTGATTAGCTACTTGGGATAGAGAGTGATGCACCAATGACAGGCCATCAAATAGAGGTTCTCTGTGGTGCTGTAGAATCAGCACTAGACTTCAAACCACAAGGTCAGTAATTCAAACCCACCAGCTGCTCCTCAGAAACCCTGTACAGGGTTGCTATGAGTTGGAACCAACTGGACGGTACTTAACAACAACAACAACACACAGAAGGGAGTCCTGGTATGGCACTGTAGCGTAAGCCCTGGGTTGCAAGGTCAGTTTGAACCACAAGATCAGTGGTTCAAATGCACCAACCTCCTTGGAAACCCTGAACAGAGCTGCTATGGGTCGAACCAACTCAATGGCACTTAACAACACACAGAAGAGGAAGGGAAACCGTGTTCCCCTTTGTTTCCTAGTCTACCAATAGAGGACGTTCTTCATACCTTAACAACTAAGGGAATGTTCCCAGACCTTTGGCAGTAGTACTGGGAATGTTTCTGCTTCTCACTGTAGCCCGCTAAGAATTATCCCCATCGCTAGTGGTGGGAGAGCAGAGAGCGCGGTGGGGGTGGGGGTGGGGGTGGCATCCATCAGCAGTGATAACGACACGGCAGAGCGCTTCTGCGCCCCAGCCACATGGGGCTTAGCTTACAGGTGTGGCACTAGACTACTAACCACAAGATCAGCAGTTCAAATCCATCAGCAGCTCCTCAGAAACCCTATACCAGGATGCCATGTGTTGGAACTGACTTTATGGCATTTTTAAGTAACAACAAAAACATGAGCAGGAAAAAACGTCCGGAAGCCAGGGATCCTGGTGGTAGTAGTTACGATGATAACTCCCAATTTGAAACAAAACAAAACAAAGTATCTAATAAGGAATTTTTAAGGTTTAAATAGTTTGCGTTTTTAAAATGTGATTAAAATTATTGTATTTCCCTTATAAAAAACTGAAATATAATATCACTTCTACATTGAGTGGATTCTATTGGGGGAACTACAAAGATGCCTCACTTTGCATCCACGTTGCAAAAATAGAGCATACTAGAGCACTTCAAAAAGTTCATGGAAAATGGAATTAAAAGATAATGGAATTTGGACTTATCCAAAGAAAACTACAAAATACTACTACAAGAAACCAAAAGAGACTTACAAAAATGCAAGGCTGTACCATGCTCCTGGATAGGAAGACTTAACATTGTGAAAATGTCAATATTGCCCAAAGCAATGTACACATATAATGCAATCCCAATCCAGATTCCAACAACATTCTTCAAAGAGATGGAAAAAACAATTACAAACTTTATATGGAAAGGAAAGAGGCCCAGGATAAGCAAAGCACTGCTTAAGAAGAAGAATAAGGTT